AAAACCCCAACCACAAGCGGGTTTTCCAGTGCCATTGCTCCCTGAAACCTCTCTGAAGGGGCCAGGTTCTGGCACTGGTCCCTGGTAGGTCTGAACTCCTTAGCTAATGTCCCGGTCTAATATAACATACATTAACCCGATAAGCTCCAGGGAGCCTCCGGGGCTCACCGAGAAAATGACGTTTCATTACATTCAACGCTGGTTTTTTCCATTGCTGTTTGTGGAAGCTGCTATCATGCAGTTTCTGAAAGTGGCTTGGTCTAGTTGTCATCCTATGTCGGACTTGTTGGTTCTCCAGGGTGGCCGTTCTCAGAAGGGTCATGCCTAGGCTCGGGAAACCACTGATCGGGTTGGGTCATTGGTGCCAGCTTCTTAGCTTGTGCTTCCTTCAGAGCTGGCGTCGTCTGGTCGGTGCGATGATCACTCTGTTCATTGGCCGGCTTCTTGTAAGGGGCATCGGCCCCTTGCGAGATTCATAAGTTCGCTTCCGTTGATGGGGCAGTTCGCGGTTCACCCTGTTGATGGGACGATGGGGGAGGGGAGGCTGGCTTTGTTTGCTTACGCTTGGTCCCACGATTCGTGGGTATTTCGGGTCTGGCCTCTGGTGGCGTTGGGCGGCTTCTCCTCCTTCGGAGGGTCTGGGACTGGTGTGGGCAGTCTTCTTCCCCTACGCTTTATTGGGTCGTCTTGGAATGGATGCTCTTTGGAGTAGTCGAAACAACACCATCCTTCGGTTTTTCATTGCCGAAACAGGACTGTGCGAATCTGTGGTTCATTCTGGACTGGTCCCATCTAAACTCCTGGATTCCTTGCCCCTCCTTTTGGATGACCACTCTGTCCCAGGTTCAGCTGCTTTTGGAGCCGGGCATTTGGATTGTGTCCCTGGACCTTCGGGACACATATTGGCACATTCTGATTCATCTGGGGTTCAGGGACTGGCTTGGTTTTGTTGTGGGGTGGCAGGCTTACCGTTTTTGTTGGCTTCCATTCAGCTTGAATCTGGCACCTCAGATGTTCACACGCCTTACACGGGTCGTTGTGGCCCGTTTGCCTCTGTTTGGGGTTCGGGTTCTGGCTTACCTCGACGACTGACTGGTCTGGACTCCCAGCCAGTCGGCGTGTCTGCTCGCCAGGGATTTGGTTCTTTACCAGCTTGCCGGGGTTGTGTTCTTGGGGAATTGGAGGAAGTTCTATTTGGTTCCTTTTCAGGTTCGGACTTGGCTGGGTCTTGTGTGGGACTCTAGAACGCTTCCTTGTCTCTCCCTCTTGCCTTCGGCTGTTTTTAGAGGGCACCCGGGTCACTTGTTGGTTGTTCGAGGAGCTGTGTATGAGTGAACTTCGCCGTGCTGGTCTACCCGTCAGGTCTGATCTGGCTTCAGTGGCTGTTCTGGTTCCTTCGGGGACATTTCTTCCGCTGCTCTTGCGATCACTGGGTTCGGACCCCAGGGGCCTTGCATCGGCTGCTGCGTCGCTGGCTTCCTCTTCGGGTTTTTCAGGGTTTTGTGCCGTGGCACCTACCCGAGCCCTCACTCGATGTGTTCATGGAAGCCTCGTCTCTCGGCTGGGGCTTTGTGACCAGTGCTCACCAGGCCGGCCAGGATCGGTGGGGTCCATCCTTCTGTCTGGCTCACAGCATGTGCGCGGCAGTGTGGCATTCGTTTCAGAGGGTTCACATCACTCGCGTATCGACGATCCTGCTCTATTCGGACTGCTCCCCTGCGGTTCATTGTCTGAACAGTGGGGGTTTGATGCTGTCCTTGGCTCTTTGGGGTTGGTCTCTTCGGTTGACTCGTCTGCTGAGTTCTCGGGGATTGGCTTTCTTGGAGGAGGTTCATGTCCAAAGAGTGTCCAACATACTGGCGGACGACCAGTCCCATTTCATTCCCCTGTCCCAGAATGGACGGTCGACACCGACTCGTTCCATTGGTTCTGCCGGAGGTTCAGGCGCCCGGATGTGGACTTCTTCGGTGTCTTCCTGTATATGCGACACCATGTCCCGATTGCGAATCCGTCAAGATTGATGCCTTTCGGCTGGACTGGTCAAGGTGGGGTTACCTGTACCTCTTCTCCCCTCCAGTTTGGTTGTTGCTCCAGGTCCTGGCTCGCTTGGAGACTTACCAGGGAAGGATAGCCCTGTTGGCCCCTTGGTGTTTGGCGCTGCTTGCTTGGTGTCCGAACCCGAGGGTCTTTCAGCGGCTTCACCTTTTTCAGCAGATCGGTCCTGTCCGGCATGTGGCTGGTTCGATGTTCTCCGATCTTTGCGTCTGGTCTTTTTGACGCGGGTTTATCACCACTTGTATGGTGTCTTTGTTGCTGGTGTCCCAGCTGTGAGTTTCATCTTAGTGGCAGTATGAAGTTCACTGGCTGTCCTTTCGACACTTCATGACTCTTCATAGATTATCTTCACTTTCTGATCGGGTTGTTTTGTAGTTTCTATCTTGGTTGTTTGAGGACTATCATCTATGCTGAATATTGTCACCTCGTATCGTGCAACGCTGGTAGAGCCGCTTCAGCTTGCGTTCGGGGTGGATGTCACTTCTGCTCCATTCCGTAAGCTTTCTCGGGCATTGTTTCACCTCTGGCCTGCTCATGCGCAGCTGTCTTGGCCTTTGGATCAGGTGCACTCTTTTCTTTCCCCTCCCTTGGTTTGTTGTGGCCCCTTTCGTCCGGGATATTGCTATGAAAGCCATGTTTTTGTTGGCCTTGGCCTCTGGGGGTCAGGTTGTGGAGCTTCATACTCTTCTCCAGCATAGAGGGTTCTGCTCTTTTGGTTCTGGAGGTCGGTTTGTTCGTTTGCAGCCCTCTCCATCTTTTCTGGCGAAGAATGAGATGGCTGGCTTGTGGAGGGGTCTGTTGGGGGTGGCTGCTTGGTTGGTTAGGCCGGGAGTGCATCATGTCTTATGGCCTCATGTCTTTTGTTTGACCTCGGATGCGTGGGGTCCATGGTTCGAGACCCATACAGCCCAGGTGAATGGCATGTTTATTTCCATGGAAGTGCGTAAGACAATTTTATGGTTAGGATAGGTTTAGTTAGGCTTGATTTAGTTAGCATTGGTTTGGTTAGCTTTGGTTTAGTTAAGTTTGGTTAGGTTTGGTTAGATTTGGTTTGGTTAGGTTTGATTTGGATAGGTTCGGTTTAATTAGCTTTGGTTAGTTAGCTTTGGTTTAGTTAGCTTTAGTTAGTTAGCTTTAGTTTGGTTAGCTTTGGTTTAGTTAGCTTTGGTTTAGTTAGCTTTGGTTTAGTTAGCTTTGATTTGGTTAACTTAGTTTTGGTTAAGTGAGGTTTGCTTTGGTTATCTTTGGTTTGGTTAGCTTTGGTTTAGTTTGATTTGGTTAGGTTAGCTTTGGTTAGGTTTAGTTAGGGTTTGGTTATGTAAGTTTGGAGATGATGAGTGACAGTAACGTGGCTGAAGATATGAAGACTAAACCACACACCAGATGATGAGGAGACGACAACATTTCGGTCCGTCTTGGACCATCATTAAGTTGATAGGTGGTCCATCCTGGCCCATTATCACAATCGACTTGATAATGGTCCAGGACTCCAGTATAGTCCGAAACGTCATCTTCTCCTCATCTTCTGTTGTTTGGTTTAGTCTTCATGTTAGTTTGCATTTGGTTAGGCTATGTTTGGTTTGGTTTGATTTGGTTAGGCTAACATACACCAGTACAAACTTGTTTCATTGGCATTATAAATTTGCTCAGGAGAGAGAGAGAGAGAGAGAGAGAGAATCACAATCTCAAATTTGGACACATTGCTCTGCACCTCTATCCACCACACAGGAGACATTCAAGATTGATCTTTATAAGCTAAATGCTCTGATAATATATCATCACAATATATTTTCTCTTGACTTCACTACTTGTTGAAGCCATAAACAACATATATCCTGCATTTGCTGATGCACTAGCAGCAAGATGCAAAAAATATGGACAGATATAAAACATTGAAAGAGAGGGAGGGTTTTGTCCGCCGCAGGTAAACAAAACATACCAGCAGTCGCGCCACTGGCAACTCGGCCAACGGCCGTGGAACTACATAGGCTTCTCCTGAGTGGAGGTGCTGCCTGGGGCCAGATCACAAACAAATAGAGGGGAATAAATGAATGATTGAGGTTCGATAGCAAGGTCGAGGAATGTAGCAATTTTCACCAGACTGTAGTATGTTTTGTTTTGCCTATCTTTCTGGGTGTCTTTTCAAGTCGATGGCAAGTATTACGTAATTTAAACGTAAAGTGTTCATAGGACATTACTCCCTGCGCCTCGCTGAGGGGGGCCAGGTTCTGGCTTGTTGGTCCCAGGAGGTAAAAGGACTCCTGTGACTGATGACCCTATACTAATAAAGCACTCTATCAGTTTGGATAGCTTCAGGGACCCTCCGGGCCTCGCCCAGAAAATAGCGTTTTATTATTTTCAATGCTGGTTTCTTGGAAGAGCCCCGGTGGTTCACTGGTTCCCTCTCTCCCTTCCAAGTTTGTTAGTGGATTGTTCATTAGCTCCAGAATTGATAAGGGGAGCCAGCTGTGGGTTCAGGCTGGACCACTTGATGGCAACTATTGGTAATAATGAGTCTAAGCTAGTTATGAGTGAACCCATTATTTAATTTTAATTGTTTGTGTTGTTTGGCTTTCTTTTCTGGGAATTTTGCATTTGTCTGTAAAACTTCACAGACCGTCTGGATGCTTTTCCCGGATGAGTGGAGAATTGTCACTCGCTAGCTGCACCTCTATGAGAGGGACCAGGGTCTGGCTCTGGTCCCCCAGTGGGTCAGACAGCACTCCTGCGACTAATGTGATCCATTATAATGGAGCCATCTCAGTGAAATAGCTTCTGGGAGCCACCAGGGACTCTTCCAGAAACAGGTGTTTCATTTCATTCAGTGCTGGGTTATTCCCGTAATGAATATAGTAATAATATAGTTGAAAAGAGATACTATTTCAGAGGCATGAGGTAATAAGAGTACTGTATGGTCAGCTAAGCATAATTGTCTACTTCAACAGAAGCAACGCACAGCAGGGGAATCTATATCTAGCAACCTGAAACAGTATGGATTAGAGAATCAATACATGGATGTTGTAGTAATGGATAATGCAAGACTATTCTGGAGAGGTGTTCCCTATGTTGATGCCATCATTACTGACCGTAAGTCTCATAATTAACTTATTCTTTATCTACACCTCTTTAAATGGTGTCTAATCTCTGTAGATATTAAGATATTGGGACCTGAGTGATCTTAGGTTGTTTGCTTTCTTTCTGAGGGGAGCCTTTATGGCTCCCTGGAGCTTATCAGGATAATGTATGTTATATTAGACCAGGACATTAGCTATGGAGTTCAGACCTATCAGGGACCATGAGCTAGAACCTGGCCCCTTCAGAGAGGTTTCAGGGAGCATTGGCCCTGGAAACCCCCCCTTGTGGTTGGGGGTTTTCCTTATCTGCCATCAACCAGGGTTAGGCACCCAGAAAGATAGGCATAACAAAACAAACCCCACATGGCAAGAAACTAACAGCAAAAACTGAACAGAGAGGTAGAACTCCCTACAATCCTGAGGAAACAAGCAAACAAGCAACTTAACACACTACTGCCGCACCGCTTGTCCACACAGCCCTTCCCCTCCCTGCCTCATTCGGGTTGGGAACGGAGGTTTTTCGAGCCTGTTCCTCCTGCCAAGGCTTTTGGGTCTTAACAGCGGCAACTTTGCTGCCTTTTCCCTGGACTCTTCCTTTTTTTTAAGGGCAAAGAGCATGGAGGATGGCTCTGCCCAGGGGCCTTTGTTGCAGGTTCCCGGGGTTGGGGGGATGCTCGCTAGCAGTTCTGGGGCTGTTTGCCCCTCCCTGGGTTTTCTGCTTCGGGGCGGGGTTTTTTGTTCCTCTCATCTGCTTACTTCCCACATTTGCTGACGTGTTTTCAAATCTATTGTGTCGGTCATGGCTCCTTGTTCTGGTGGCCATTTTCTTTCAGCGGTTAACTTCCCTGCTTTGCCACTGGTTTTTTCACCTCCTTCAGGGGTTTTATCCTCATGTTGCAGTTTCTTTGCTTTTCTGTGGTGTTATGCAATCTTCTGTTCCTCTGGGAACGCTTGGGTGTTAGTTTTAACCCTTAAACTGTGCCTGGCATATATATACACCATGAGTAACATGTCCCACGGTGCGCATGGCATATATGTACGCCATAATATGCCAGGCACGATTCAAACGGCCCGCGACTACACGGGGTTCACATTAGCTTCCTCAGGGCTCTTGTAAACAGACGCCATGTTTAAAAAAATCGTGGGCAATATTCTCCAGTGTAAGAGCCACAGTACTGTTGGAGCAACCAAGGCTGGCGCACGCAACATGAGTGAACAGCTGTTTAGCTTGTGACCACAGCATCACCGAAAAATGTCAAAATAAATATAACTGCTATTATTTAGCGATGATATTATTACAGATGACCCCTGACAGTGATAAAAGTGACCAGGATTGTGATAATAGCAGGATTGTTGTGATAATTAGCACTGTGGGAGGAGTGATGGTGAGGGACGGAGGGAAATAGTATCGTTTACTGACAGTGTGGTCACCTGTTATTGTCTGCATTCACCATACCAGCTCAGTGGTTCTCTATGGTGAACACAAATATAGATACTTATATATAATGTGTGTATTAGTGGCCCTCTGTTTTTCTGTGGGGAGCCCCTACGGCTCCCTGGAGCTTATCGGGCTAATGTATGTTATATTAGACTGGGACATTAGCTAAGGAGTTCAGCCCTACCAGGGACCAGCGCTAGAACCTGGCCCCTTCAGAGAGGTTTCAGGGAGCAATGGTCCTAGAAAACCCCTTTGTGGTTGAGGTTTTCCTTATCTGCCATCGACCGGGGTTAGGCACCCAGAAAGATAGGCATAACAAAACAAACCCCACATGGTAAAAAACTAAATCATAAAACCGAACAAAGAGGTAGAAACTCCCCACAATCCCAAGGAAACAAGCAAACATCACACTTTACTGCCGCGCCGATCGTCTGCACAGCCTTCCCCGCCCCGAGAGGGGGAGGGGGAAGCCCCGGACCTCACCACACCGGCTGCCTAGCATCAGTTCATAAGCTAATGTCAATCTGGATAGACGCTTCTCTGGCCTCAGTTTCCTAGGCGGTCTTTGCCTTGTGTGGCGTTCACTGCCGTGTGTTGTGTTGTGCGGTGGCCAGGTGTTCCTCATCAGTACCGGGGCTGCATGCGCTTAGGGGCTTCCTTCCCTAAGCGCCCTGTGAGTACTGCCCCTGCGTGACAGGGTTATCTTCCCTGGGGCGTTCAGGAACCATTCCCGTAGAGGTTCTTGCTGCTCGGCATTTGCCTCGCCCTTGGGGCCAGCTGGGGCTTGGGGCCCTTGTTTGGCCCTGGGTAGGGACTGGTATTGTGCTGGTTAGGGCATCAAGGTGTTGCGCGACCTGCCACCTAAGCGGTGACCGGTTCCTGTTGCCTCTGGAGACGGTGTACTTTTGCGGGGTTTTTCTTTTGTTTTTATTTTCATTTGCCTGGTGTAGGTCTGCCTAGTGTGACTATAGTTCCACTGATAGTGTTTGGTGGCCCTCTGCTAGGCCCCTGTGATTGTACACGTTGCAGGGGTTTTCAGTGTTGTCCTCTACCCTTTGTTATTTTTGGGTTTCTTAACCGGTTAGCAACACCTTGCCCAGGCTTCCCGTAGTTGTTACCCTACAGGCCCTGGAAACCCTTGTCAGGGCTCGGTGGACCATTGAATGTGTCTTCCGATTTCCTACCCGTCCTGTACGGGATCGTTGGTTGCTGTGCCCTTGTTTCTGGGTGACAGTCCCCACTTTTATCTCCGTCATGTTGCCTGTTGGGTCGTTGACAACTTGACCCAGAGTCTTGCGAGAGATATTCTCTGCTTGTTCTCCAGTACTCTCCTGATGTTATTACTGTTCAGAGTACAGGCGGCATCCGTGTTGCAAGGTAGGTTATGTTGCTGCAACATACTATGTTGGTTTCGCACTCGGATGCCCCGGGGCCGCCCCGTTTTGGTTATGTGCTGTTTGCCCCTTTCCCTCCCTGTTCCCAGCTCCAGACCGTCTGCAGGTTTCGGGGTCGGGGCGGGGTTTAGTTGGGGCCGAGACTCGGGCAGTTTCGGGGGGCTGCCCCGTTCGGGTTGGGGATGGAGGTTTTCGAGCCTGTTCCTCCTGCCAAGGCTTCTGGGTCATACCAGCGGCTCTTTCTTGCTGCCTTTCCTTTGGACTCTTCCTTTTCTTTAAGGGCGGAGGGCTTGGAAGACGGCTGTGCCCCGGGGCCTCTGTTGCGGGTTTCCAGGGCTGTGGGGGATACCTGTTAGCAGTTCTGGGGCTCTTTGACCCTGCCTGGGTTTTCTGCTTCTGGGCGGAGTTTTTCGCCCATCCAGTCTGCTTGCTTCCCACTTTTGCTGGAGTGTTTTCGTATCTTTTGCGTCGGTCACAGCCCCCTGGTCTGGTGGCCATTTTTTTCTGCCGGTTTCCCGGCGTGGCCACCAGGGCGGCATTGCAGTTTGTTTACATACACCTGGGTGTGCGAGCGAGCGTCTTGGGTGAGTTTTTTCACCTTTTTCAGAGGTTTTATTCTCCTGTTGGCATTTCTTTGCTTTTCTGGTGTCTTCTGCCCATTTTCTGTTCCTCTGGGAACGTTTGAGTGTTGATTTTACACCGGGTTTTCCGTTTTGTCTGTTTTGGATCTGGGCCCTAGGGTTTGGGCTCAGTATCCCTGTCTCTATGCTTGCTCCCACACCTCGTCCCTCAGTTTTCGGTCTGTTTTGACCGTTTCCCTTGGGGTTCTGTCTGGGGCTGTGCATTGCCTTTCTGTGGTGTATCTCCGCCGGCAAATGTGGTGGTTTGGGCTTCCCCTGGTTCGATTCCGGGTTCCTTTGGATTCTTTGGTTTTGTTCCAGAGGTTTCATCCTCTTGGGCCCCCTTTGTGGGTTCAGGGGGCTTTGTTTCCTCGTGTGTGACCCGGTTCTGCCTTCTGGGGTTCCGGGGTCTTCCTGGCTTGCAGACTGATCTTTTTGGGTCTTGGCACATGTTGTGGTCGTGCTGGGACTTTGGGGTTTTGTTGTCGAGGTGGGCCTTTTGATGCAGTTTTGTGCCTTCTTCGCCTGGCCGGCGTGGTGCTCTCTGCCCACTGGTCGGCGGCTTGTAATTTTCTTTTCATGTGTATGTGTGCGCATGTACATGTGCATGTGTACACTGTGTGTATGTGCATATGCACGTGTATGTAATACACCTTTGTGTGTGTATTTATGTGTATGTGTATGTATATGTACTAATATGTATATGTACATAATATATGTGTATATGTGTGTATATATGTATGTATACTTTTTCTTTTGGAAGGGCCTCTGTTCCCTTCGCTGTTGATGGGGCACTGGGGGAGCAGCTTGCTCTGTTGACTCTCGCATGGTCCCACAGTTAGTGGGTGCTTTTGGTTGTCTTCCGGCCTCTGGTGGCGGCGACGGACGGCTTCTTCCTGGCGGGGTGGGTTTCTTTCCCCTGCGCTTCGTCATGTCATCTTAGTGGGTGCGTTGGACGTGGTCGATCCGCCCCATCCTTGGGGGTTCCCGTCTGCTCTATGCAGACACGGGCCTGGCAAATCTGCGGTTCTTCTGGACTTCTCCAGTCTGCGCCCTGGATTCTATGCCCTCCTCGGAGGACTGTTGTCTCCTGTCCGGCTTCTGTTGGGGCCGGGTGCCTGGATGGTGGCCCTGGACCTCCAGGTCAATTCTTGGCACGTTCTTCTCCAGTTTTCCGGGACTGGCACAGTTGGTGGTGGGGCTTCAGGCTTGCTGCTTTTGTTGCCTTCCCTATTTTGTAATGGGCACTTGGTGTATTTATGCATCTTTACCGGATCTTGGTGCCCTGTCTGAGTCTGCTTGGGATTCGGTGTCTAGCCTACCTCGACGACTGGCTGGTGTGGGCTCCTAGTCGGTCTACTTGTCTGCTCGCCAGGTGTGTGGTTCTTTCCAGATCGCCAGGTTTGCTTTCCTGGTGATCTGGAGGCTGTTCCATCTGTTTCTGGCCCGGGTTCGGACCTGGCTGGGTCTTGTTTAGGGCTCTTGGGCTGCTCCTTGTCCCTCCCTCCAGAAGTGTTGCTGCAGCTGTGGTCCCGCCTTCGGCTGTGCTCATGACGGGGTC